TTACCTTGCCAGTCATCTTCCTCACAGAGTCCCTTTTTTTTGTTCAGTCAGAGGAGGGAGGAGGGAGGAGGGAGGAGGGAGTAAGGGTGAGAAACAGCAATGTCATGTTTCAGGTTTAACTACACCTTGACACCATGTTCTCTCTGACCCTCTGTACAGTCAAAATGACTGTGGCGATGTCTCCAGAATTCTCCTGTGATGACTCTCAGCCACCATCTGATTCACTGCCCTTCTTCGCCGTCTCACGGAGGGTGTCTTGCGAGGTCTCCTATACAGTCGTCATGGTTGTGGCGATATGTCCCAGAATTCTGTTGTGATGAGTCTCAGCCACCCTCTGATTCACATCAATTTTCACTTTTATAAAATTATAGAAGAAAACTTCATATTGTTCTTCATAAGCATAAGCAGATGTTTTAGAAACATTTTTGATTCTGAAGGGCAAAAGCAAACATTCTTAGGCATTTGGAGAAAAGAATCAGTTGAATGAAATAGGTAATTATAAAAGCAAAATATTCTGGCTGCTTGAAACACTCCAACAGCGTATATTTCAAAGAGTGATAGAGGAAGTGAATTGTCCACCTTTGTCTTTAAATCTTAGACTAGCCAGATTTAAATAAACGGTCCTTCATGTCTCCATATTTTCAGTAACTCATTGACATTCAAATTTTCCAATCACTTCAAACTATTCCCAGTTCTGCGATTGTAGCAGAAATGGATTATCAAGGATTTCTCTGCCCCAAATGTTCAGTCTCCAGATAATCAGAGAATAGACAAAGAATGGAATATATGCAACAGGATTCTATGATAGTTCTGACCAGGGGACCTACATGGGAATTGCCTGAGAAGTTTAAACTTAGGACAGGAAATTCCCCTGCTCCTTAGGGCACAGCAATCTCTCCGATACTCCAATTCTTGAGTTAAAGTTGAAATCTTGAGGCAGATCTGCACAACTTAACTAGATAGTGACCCAGGAAGTGGACCTGGTCTGACATATGAAACTTGTATCTCTTTTCAGTAGCTCCTACTCCACAGGAGAAACTTAACCTTACCAGCTACCTACCCACCAATTTCACTCACCCCCTCATCCATTCACTAGCCCATATTCAAAGACTAGATCTTTAAACTTGACTGAATATAGCAGCTAGTGATGCTAAAATGGGGCTGTGGTCTTTCACAGTGACATTGTGCATTCCTTTGACAACTCAGATTCAAAGATTCTTGAAGATACTTGCAGTTGATTTTGGTCAGGAGGATTTTTGCATGCAAAAGCTTTCAAGTAGCATAGCTGCTGCTGCTACAATTCAAAAGATTCATGCCAATGTTTCCGTCCAGGATTAGATGCAGCACCTGCAAAAGGTCAGTCATCTATGGCATAGATTTAGGTTATTTGATCATTTGATATGAGGGGCAACTTTTTTACACAGAGTGGTTTGCATGCGGAATAAATTGCCAGAGAAAGTGGTGGATGCAGGTATAGTTACAATGTTTAAAAAACATTTGGATAAGTTCATGAATAGGAAAGGTTTGGAGGGATATGGGCCAAGCGCGCAGGCAGGTGGGACTAATTTAGTTTGGGAACATGGTCAGCGTGGTCTGGTTAGCTGAAGGGTCTGTTTCCATGTTGCATGACTCTGTGATTCTTTTAAGACTCCAAGGAGCAACCAGCCAGTCTCTCATTGTCCTATTCTATCCCTGTAAACCGTGCAAGTTGAATTCCTTCAAGCACTTATTGAATATTCACATGAAATCATTGATCTTCATGCAGTCCATGGAGATGAAGGGAATAGTTTTCCAAGGCTTTCACTATCAAATATATGGTAATTGCTTTCATTTCTGCAAATAAGGACTCCCAAATATTAGTGTGCTAATATTTTGAGGGATTTTTAAGTAAAAGCGGAGAATAAAAGGTGAATTTATTTTTTGAAATAGTTTATGCAGAAGTGATATTCATTTATTGAATTCCTAAACAATTCTTACACTATAAATTGTCTTTTATAAATGATGTAAATCAGTACCAGAAAACAATTGAAAATCTGTGCAATACATTAGTTAGTAGAAGAGGGCAAAAAATGAGTTAGCATCTTCATAAATCTTCCTTTTGTTTGATTTGGAGTCAAATATTTCCTGAAATTATTTGTCAGTTTGGTATTTGGATAAACAAGAATAACAACTACTTGCTGAGATTCATTAAGTTTGAGGTTGAGACTTTGATGCATGTTTGGCATGGTTATAGGATAAAGTTTGAATCAGTACCTTCAAACTGTTGAAATTGAGCTGATTATTATTGGCCAACTGGTAATGCATTGAAGGATTAAAATGAAACCACAATCATGAGAAGTGTGATGTGATGCATTTTGGTAGAAAGAACACTGAAAGACAATACAATTGTACAATTCTAAACAGGATGCAGGAGATGAGGGACCTGGTGTATATGTGCCTACATTATTGAAGATAGAAAGACAGGTGGAGAGAGCAATAAATAAAGCATAGTGTTCTCAGTTTTATTAATAGAGTACAAGAGCAAGGAGGTCATGTTGAACATACACAAGACATTTATTAGACCTCAGATAGAGTATTGTGTACAATTGTGGGCGCTATGTTATAGAAAATATGCAGATACATTGGAGAGACGGCAGAAACAATTTACTAAAATTGTTTCAGGAATGAGAAACTTCAGTTGTGAGGACAGATTTAATAAATTTGTACTGTTCTCCCTTGAGAAAAGAAGGTGGAGAGGAGATATGGAGGTTTTCACAATCACAAGCACACTGGACAGAGTAAATAGGATAAAGCGTTTCCGCTTGTAAAAGAAGCAAGAACGAGAGGACGTAGATTTAAAGTGATGTGAGAAACAAAGCAAGGTAATATGAGAACTTTTTCACATAGCAAGTTGCTAGAGTATGGAATGTACTGCTTGGAAACATGGTGGAGGCAGGTTCAATTGATAATGTTGTGCAGGGATATGGGGGAAAGGCAGGAAACTTGCACTAGGTAATAGAGTTGGATAAGACAATCAAGCTGTTGCAGGTGTGATAAGCCAAATGGCCTCTATTTGCACCCTAGTGATTCTATGAAAACAAGCAATTAAGATATATCCTGGACTCCACCCAATTAGTAATTCTACAATCTGATTGAATGGAAGGAGGTCTGAATTGCAGTAATTAAAATTTCCAAACTAATATTTTGTGTGGGGTAAAGACTATTTGCCTCTTCAATATTATTCCTCTCTCCTTTAAACTGTTACCATTCCCCTTCTCCAAGTCACTTTCTCCCAAGGTGACTCTACAAAATCAATAATTTTTCTGATTCCTGCTAATACCCTTTAGGAGAGTGTAAGGACACAGAAGTTATGTTGCAGCTATACAGAACCCTGATAAGACCTCACTTGGAGTACTGAGAGTAGATCTGGGCACTACACCTTAGGAAGGATACAAAAACCAAAATTGCTGGCAAAACTCAGCAGGTGTGGCAGCAATTCTGATCAAGAGTTGCTGGGCTTGAAATGTTAACTCTGATTTCTTCCCACAGTTGTTACCAGACCTGCTGAGTGCCAGCAATTTCTTTTTTTGTTTCAGATCTCCAACATTTACCGTTGTTTGTTTTATCTTAGAAAGGATATAATGGCCTTGGAGGAAGTACAATATAAGTTTACAAGAATAATACCTGGAATTTAGGGGTTAATTTATGAGGAGAGATTATACAAATTAGACATGTTTTCTTTAGATTTTAGATGGTTAAGGCGTGACCTGATTGAAGTCTTCAAGATATTAACAAGAAAAGACTGGATGGATAATAATAAACTATGTAATTGGGGATCCTAGAATTAGGAAGCACAGCCTAAAAATTAGAGCTAAACCATTCAAGAGAGATGGTAGGAAATACTTCTACATACATAAGGGTGGTTGAGGTTTTGAACTCTCTTCCACAAATGCCACTTGATGCTAAATCTGAGATAGAAATATTTTTGTTAAGCAAGGGTATTAAAGGATGTGGGACAAAGGCCACATATGGAGTTAGGCCACATATCAGCTATGATAGTCCATAGAATCCCTACAGTGTGGAAACAGGCCATTCAGCTCCACAACTCCACACTAATCCTCCAAACAGCATCCCCACCATCCCTACAACCCTGCCTTTTTCATGGCTAATGCACCAAACCTGCACATTCCTGAACACTATGGGTAATTAGCACAGCTAATCCATCTAACGTACACATATTTGGACTGCCAAGTTTGTCTTGTACAGAGCAGCAGCCAACTGCTGTTGATGGCACCAGTCCTCAGGTGCCATCTAAATGCAGCACCTTGGTAAGTGTTAGAAAAGCACATTTGGACACTTCGGAGAAACAGAGAGACAAATTGACATTGAATGTCAAATGTCATTTCAAGCTGACAGGAAATATTTTTATCCACATCAACTTGTCAGCATTTTACAAGAAAATGTCTGATTTTTTAAACTAGGTTTGCACTATCAAAAATATAATTGGTTGGAATGTGAATTAACTATTAGAAGCATCAGTTAGGCAATGCATATAAACCAAGGCAGAAATCTTTTAAAATGACTATTTTTGAGCATCAAAATAAAAAGTATGTTTAATCTTTGTACCTAACAATGAAGATGTTTCAGAGAGTAAAACAATATTGAGACAGGCAAATTCAGTGAGTTAAAACTGCTCACAGAGAAGTGGACCCATAGAATCAAAATAGAAAGGTAAACCCGATGAGTGAAAACAGCCAGCAAAGATGTAGAGCTGATGAATTAAAAGCAGCAAGGGATGAAATTAAAAAGCAGAACCAAAAAGGTAATAGTCTTTGGATTACTACTACCTGAGCCATGAGCCAATTGGAACAGGGTCAGTAAGATAAGAGAGGTAAATGTGTTGCTCAATGATTGGTGCAGGACAAATGGTTTCAAAATCATTGGACATTGGTACTAGTACAAGGGAAAGAGGGAGCTCTTCCCATGGGAGGGGCTCTGCTTGAATCATGCTGGGACTAGAATCTTAGTGAATCACGTAACTAGGGTTGTGGATAAGGATTTATACTGAATAGTGGGGTTGTGGCATGGGAGTGCAGTGGATTCAGTTGCATGGAAAATTAGGAAATCAAAGTTTAATGGGAAGGTTGAAGTACAAGTTAGTGATGAAGCTGTTGGTCTCAGCAAATTAAAGGAATTGATAGAATGTGTGAGTGTCAAATTGTACCAAAAAATTGTACAAGAGTAGGGAAATTTGATAACAGAATAATTTTAAAGGCCTTGCATCTGAGCACCCAAAGCATTTGGAAGAAATATAATTAGTTAATGGCCTGAGTAGAGACAAGCTAGTCTGATTTGGCAGTAATTACTGAGATGTTGCAGGTAGACCAGGTTTGGGAACTGAACATCTAAGGTTACTGTGGAATTGATGACCCCCAAGTGTGACAGATGCTGAGACATTGAGTAAACTTAAAGAGACAATTGACAGATTTTTAATTAATAGTGTTGAAGAGTTATGAACAGTGGACAGAAAAGTAGAGTTGAGGCCGAGATGAGATTAGCCATGATCATAGGGAATGGCAAAGCAGGGTTGAGGTGAATTGACTAGTCCTCTGTTCTGATGGAAGAATTTAGCATTCCTTCTTTCTTTCATTTTCTATCAAGAAAGCTTTCTATGATATCTCCAAGAGTTGACTTTTGTGAAGGTCCATTTTCTTCAAGAATTTTACCAATGTTTTTCAATGATGAAAATGTCATGAATGCCTGAACTAACTTCAATTGAATATTCCTGTCATTCCATTTGCAGAATTGCCAGAAATTGGGAATAAAAAGAAGGTAAGGCATTGTGCTCATTACAATTTAAAGAATTTTACATGAGATCCCATATCTGATGCATTATTAAGGTTTATGGTATTCATGGTTGGCCTGTTTGGAAGTCATAGGTTAGAAATGTCCTCTAATAGTACGGTCAGTTGAAAGGAATTGGTGCACACAATTTGAGTGGTTGTGTATTGACAGAAGACTGAAGGCTACCCTTTATATGACTTGTCCTGTGTAACCGCTTCTATGATCTAAACTTCATAGTTTTATTGATTGTTGCAAGTGCTTAAAAAGGAACAGCAATTCCTTTTGTGGAGCTATGAATATAAATGTTTATTTTTATAAGGAATTATATACTGTAAATTATTTAAATACATTGAATGAGCTTTTATCAATGTCATTGCTGCTTTAATATAGTGAAATCAGTAATTAATACTTCAAGTCTTTTTCTACATGCATATAACTTCATTTTATGTTACCTCAACATTTTAACTCCTGAGGTCTGTGTGTGTGTGTGTGTGTGTGTGTTGGATATTGGTAAGTAGGCATGAGGTGTAATGGGAAAAGATGGGGTGGGGAGGAAATAGCATGACCTAGTATTAATTGGAATAGGGGCTATGAAGGATAATGGGGATGAATGGGAGGCTTTGCATTGGTGTGAGTTGTGCTAAGTTAGTAGGGAGTTTATGAGCAGCTGTGAGGACTGGATAGAGGGCCGTTGGTTACCATGGATGGTGAAGAAAATGGGGGTGAGCGTGGAGCATGAGGTGACCTGAAACTGACACAGATGAGGCCTGGGAAGGCTGTGAGGGTCGAGGACTAGTGTGCCTCACTGCTTTTATTAGAATTGGAAGGAATTATGAAATGCAATGCCAGAGCACTGAGGTGAGTCTCTCGAGATTTTTTTACTCAGTAAACTCTGCCCCAAAAACTGTCTAGAAGTAGACATAGATATGGCTACAACTGGTACTTGTCCCCATCTCTCTTCACCTCAGAATGAAAATTATAACAATCCCAAGCTGGGTTTAAGGAGTTGGGAATTATTTTTGTGAGTCTACATACCTGATTTAGGAGTAAAAATTCAACTGATGATCTTCAACTGGGGCAATGAATGTCCAGCCAGTGTCTGTCTTTCACTTACTCGACAAAAAAAGTATGAATTTTGGGGGTGGGGCAATTAATATTAACACTATTTAAAAGGCTAATTGAAGGTAAGCTAATTATTTATTGCAAATATTTAGGTGTACTTTATAGTTTGTTGGGAGTTCTAGTGAGTTTCTAGACTTGCCAGAGGGTCACCAGATAGCAAGAGTGTATGCATGCATGGTCTAAATGGATAGTGCGGACAGAAGTAACAGTACTACAGAGTCTGTCTCATAAAAATGGTCCAGTGGCTGCTGACAGAGCAGGCTCTGCACAGTGCTCTCTACCAAAAGGGAGCCAAACACCTCCATTTTCCTTAGCAGTGGGGTTAGAGATGTTGCACAGATGTCCGACTGCAAGTAAACAGTATAGATAGTAGCTTGTTGAAAGGACTCGTTTACATAAATCTAGTAACAACCAATAGAATGCACAGCAGATAAACTCTGATGTCAGTCAGCACTTAATGTTGATAGTGTTGCTATTTTATAATTGCACACTCCAGCCAACATCCTTTGTTAACTTCACAGTTATTCATGACCGAGTGACCTCTTTACCATTGCTGATATTTAACTGGATCATCCACTACTTTATTCTTTATTGCTGAATTAGTTGGTTTTTTTTTTCTGGCTGTTCGTAAAATTATATGTATTTTGAAGCTTTCCTGTAGCAGCACAAGGTTTCAATAGTCTATAACAGGTGGTTTGGCTGGTGTTGAAGCATTTGCCTGTCAACTTAAGGAATGGATACAAGAGCTAGTCTTTATTTCATAAATGTGGTCGACACCTAACGCCTGCCAATTGCTGCATCCATGATTGCAGAAGGATCCCAGTGGCTGTGGTTGTAACTAATTTTACTTGTCTGGCTCCTTCCACACCACTTCTGGAGATACAAGAAACATCTCAGTTTGTAATGCACTGCTGCATCAGGGATATCACTGAGCCTTTCTTTGCAAAGAGGAATGATTTACTCTCATTCCTTCTTGCTAGAAAAGCACAGATGAAACTTGCACAAAGGTTTGTACAGATTGCTGATTTTCCCATGGTACAGGGGGCCACTGACCGCATGCACATTGTATTAAGTGTATCTCATTTGAACTCAACTATTTTAGTGAAATGATGTATATTCCCTTGATGCATACTTTTGTTGAGGGGGGAGGTGTAGGGGCAGGTGTAGCACTTCCTGCGGTTATAGGGAAAAGTGCCGGGGGTGGTGGGGAGAGTGGAGCGGACAAGGAAGTCACGGAGAGAGCGGTCCCTCCGGAAAGCAGATAAGGGTGGGGAGGGAAAAATGTCCTTTGGTGGTGGGGTCAATTGCAGGTGGCGGAAGTGTCAGAGGATGATGCGTTGGATCCGGAGGTTGGTGGGGTGGTACGTGAGGACAAGGGGGATTCTGTTTTTGTTGTTATTGCGGGGAGGTTGTGTGAAGGATGAGTTGCAGGAAACGTGAGAGATGCGGTCGAGGACATTTTCGACCACTGTGGAGGGGAGGTTGCGGTCCTTGAAAAACGAGGACTTCTGGGATGTCCAGGAGTGGAATTGGGAATAGGGGGTGGCATTTTTGCAGGAAGGTGGGTGAGAGGAGGTGTATTGCGAACGATTTCAACTCCTCCTCCCACTCCTTGGACGACATGTCCTTCCTGGGCCTCCTGCAGTGCCACAACAATGCCACCTGAAGGTTGCAGGAACAGCACCTCATATTTCACTTGGGAACCCTGCAGCCCAATGGTATCAATGTGGACTTCACAAGCTTCAAAATCTCCCCGCCCCCGACCACATCCCAAAACCAGCCCAGCTCGTCCCTGCCTCCCTGACCTGTCTGTCCTTTCTCCCACCTATCCTCTCCTCCCACCTCAACCCCCACCTCCTACCTACCAGCCTCATCCCTGCCTCCTTGACCTGTCCGTCTTCCCTTGACTGACCTACACTCACCTTTACTGGCTCCATCCCCGCCTCCTTGACCTGTCTGTCTCCTCTCCACCTATCTGCTCCTTTTATCCATCTTCCATCCGCCTCTCCCTCTCTCTCTCTTTATTTCAGAATCCCAATCCCCTTCCCCTCCCCCATACCTGAAGAAGGGTCCAGACCCGAAATGTCAGTTTTCCTGCTCCTCTGATGCTGCTTGGCCTGCTGCGTTAATCCAGCTCTACACCTTGTTACCACTGTGCCATAAGATGCCCTTTTGCCTAGCCTTGTGATCAAATAATTCACGATCTGTATTAGTAACCTCAACCATACTTCAACATTTGTCAACTTTCCCATTTTCCTTATCTTTACTTCCATTACTAATCAACATATTATTCACTTTCTGAAAACATGAAAATGAAAATACAAGTTCCAATTCAAATTTATTAATTCACTTCGTTTCAGTTGTGTAATTATTCGTGTATTTTCAGTAAAGACCCTGAACACAGTGTGGGATCAAACTACAAGATGGAGTGCCTGTTTTCCATCTGCCTTTGTGTATCTTTATGCACACATTTCTGTAATGGTTGCATCATGGGTGCTGGATGGCCACTGTCTTTGATTTGAGAGATGTCCTTGGAGGAGGAACTCGGATAGCTCTTGTCCTGGCCTTCCTTCCTTCTCTCCCTCCCTCCCTCGGAATGTGGATTTGCTGAGCAACAGGGGTGGATCACAATGCTGTCAGCCTTCCAGAAAGCTACTCACATTCCCCAAAGAACCAACGTAATCCCAGCGAGTCAGGTCCATGTGAAATCACAAAGTTAGTCCCCAATTCATAGCACCATAGAAACATGACAGCACAGAAAGCAGCCGTGTGTCTGGGCAGGGTGACAATATTGGCCATCCATTCTAATCCCACTTTCCAGCGCCAGGTTACTAGTGTTTCAAGTGCAGATCTAGATTCCTTTTAAAATGTATTTAAGAATTCTACCTCAACTATTAAACTCGGCAGTCAATTCCAGATACTTACCATCCTGTGAGCGAAAATGTTTCCCTTATGTCACCGCTAATCCTTCCGACTTACATCTGTGCGCCAGTAATTGATTTCACCATTAGGTGAAACAGATCTTCTGTGTCCATTTCATCCAACCCCTCATTAATTTATATGCCTCAACTAAATTAACTCCTCTGTCCTAAGGAAAACAATTCTTTCCCATCCAATCTTTCCTCATTGCTACAATTTCAAGCCCTGGCAACATTTTTGTAAATATCTTGAAAGTGATCACATGGGATCCAGGTGGAGCTAGCCAATTGGATACAAAATTGGCTTGAAGGTAGGTGACACAGGGTGGTGATAGAGGTTTGTTTTTCAGACTGAGGCCTATGACTGGTAGTGTGCCAAAAGGATCCGTGCTGGTTCCGCTGCTTTTTATGATTTATATAAATGATTTGGATGTGAATATAGGAGGTATAGTTCATAAGTTTGCTGATGACACCAAACTAGGTGGTGCAGTGGACAGTGAAGAAGATTACCTCAGGGTACGATGGGCCAATGGGCTGAGGCATGACAGACGGAATTTAATTTAGATAAATGAGGTGTTAGATTTTGGTAAGACAAACCAGGGGCAGGACTTATACAGTTAATAGTAGGGCTCTGGAGAATTTTGCCAAACAAAGAGAACTGTGGGTGCACATGCATAGTTCCTTGAAAGTGGAGTCACACATAGATGGGGTGGTGAAGAAGGCAATGCCTTCATTAGTCAGTGCATTGAGTATAGGAGTTGGGATGTTATCTTGCAGCTGCACAGGACATTGGTGAGGCCACGTTTGGAATACTGCATACAATTCTTTTTGGCCTTCTATAGGAAGGATGTTGTTAAAGTTGAGGATGCAGAAAAGATTTACAAGGAGGTTGCTGGTACTGGAGGGTTTGAGCTAAAGGAAGAAGCTGAATAGTCTGGGGCTTTTTTC